ATTTGACTCAGCTGTGCCTGCCATACAAGTATTCATCATCCTCTCTTGTGTTTTCATTGTTTCAACAAGAGACTGTGTCTGTCGAGAAATCGACAGCTGATAGCAACTTGTAAAGCTTTGAAATGCTCTTTTATGGAATATTTTCATCCGAAGCCACTACTTCATTGTAGACTGCCTAAGCCAAATTAACTTATAATATAAGCTTAAATTGTTGTTCTTACTATAGGCTATGGTGGTGGAACTGATAGAGTCGCACGGTAAGAATTTTTAGGTCGAATCATAGTTACTGAACTATGGTCGAATCCAGAACAAAATTAGAAAACCACCAGAAACTGTACACATGGGATGTCTCCTTATTCAACAACATTGTAGAAAGTTGTCAAGTTTTAATTTGTTAGACAAAGGCGTTTGAAATCTGCGGACTTTCACGTCGTCAGTTAAAATTGAAGCTGTCGTGTTTAGTTTCGCCAGAGAAGAGTTCTCGGTATGTTTTTTTTTATTTTGTACGATGTTCCCGTTTCATACCGGACGTTTAAGACATTTTTTTTGTCCAGGCGTCGTTTTCAACGTTTGTAACGTAAAAACGGCAATAAGATGCGTCTAGATGACATTTACCCTTCTAGCGTGACTGGCCAATATTGACGAGAAAGTTGATTAAAATGGTGCCGGAAATGGACGGCAAACAAAAACAATCTTTGCCCTGAATAAGTTCGCTCGGATTTAAAGGACCCCTATGAAATCACAAGGTCCCCATCTAGACCTAATAGGCCACCTTCGATATATATTCTGACATGGCTTCGAGGCTTTCAGGACAAGTCTAATTGTAAAAATGTAAATTTAGGAACCAAATAAAGATTGATTGATTGTTGAATTGCAAATTTGTTAAGTTCCTTTTGTCCCTCAATTCCCAAAAGAGACTTGGAGACAAAGAAATCACCACCAAATGTAGACGTTTGTCCTGAAAGCCTCGAGGCCATGTTAGAATATTGGTTCATCAAACGTGGCCTATTAGTAAAAATTCGTCCTAACGAACCTCAAGAGATTTTCAGAGAAAAAGCCCTGAAAACAATTGTCGAACCCGAAGAACTCGAACTAAATTTTGCATCTTACTTGACCTTGTATAGCTCTTCTGACTCTTCTGTTATGACAAATTTTATCAGTATTTGTGAAAGTTGAGATAGAAAGATTGAACTTTACCTCTCTGGCTCTGGAGCTTCAAACCTAGTCCTAATAATAACTATACATTCAGTTCACGGAAGTCTGCAACTTGCCATGACCCAATTTCGAAAGGACCATACGTGCGTGACTGTACTGTAGAAATTCCGCGCATCGAGATGATGGACAGAGACATGGCAGTCGGGGCGGGGCAGAGCAGTAGTTTCTCAGACAATTCAAATCAAATTTCTGAAACGATCTAAAACGATAGGCGGATCAGAATTAAAGAGCAACAGTTTCTTTTGTCTGAATTTAACCTAACATGACCTCTTTAGAACATGCTTATTATTATGCAACATAAAATTTCACCCGGACGCGTAAGGAACCTTTAAAAAAATTAATTTCCATGTGATCATTTGAATTCAGTCCTAGATTTTGATCTTATCCATGACTAATTCTCTATCTCTTTAGGCAGCGTGCCAAACAGTATTCTACCGTATTTCTTACGACGAAAAGGTCCAAATTTCTCTTGACGAAATGACCACAAGCGATAGCATCGAAAAGCATCCCTCACCAAACCGAAACTTAATTGTCTGGGAACGTATTACCGAATTTCGATTTGAACAAAAAACGTAGACTGTTCCTCGTTCCCTTGCTCGCGCGTGCGTGACGTGTCACGTTACATGTTACTGTAGTTCGTGATCATCTGTGGAAGTCCAACAGTTAAGGTCAGCACTTAGTCTGGTTGTTTGTTTCGTCTAGGTTCTCTTCATTTTAACAATTCCTCTCACGTTTCCGCAATCTTTCTGACCTTAGCTAAGGGACTGACCATTGTATTTTTGAGGGGGGAGAGTGTGGGGTGGGGAGGGGGAGGTTGGGCAATTTTCTGGGGCATGATTTTTTTTTTCTTACAGTGGTGTAAGAAAGTTTCGAACTTATAACTTAAGGTATACGCCGATGAAAACACCCTTAATTTTAGCTTTAAGGGCTTATAATTAAGCAGTTATTCTGGTTTATAAAATATGCGGGAGAAGATTCAGATCCGATCGAGGTTGTACTGCGATGTC